TTTCCTCTGGGTGCTCCAGTTTCCTCCCACAGTCCAAAGATGCGCAGGCTAGGTGGATTGGCCATGCTAAATTGCCCATAGTGTTCAGGGGTGTGTAGGCTAGGTGGGTTAAAGGGGGATGGGTCTGGGTGGAAAGCTCTGAGGGTCAGTGTGAACTTGTTGGGCCGAACGGCCTGTTTCCACACTGTAGGGATTCTATGATCTAATACAGTAACTTTACCACACACGGATTGGACTCTTAATAATGCTTTATAGGTGAAAGTGAACTGTGTTCTGATGACTGCAAAATCCATGCCTTGCTTACATAGATATCATATTAGCTAGAGTTTATTCATTTGTAAATCTGTCTCTTTGTTATATATCCATCTGTCAACATCTACATCGGTTCATGTTTCTATTCATGTCTAACTGCCTTTGTTTATCCAGCTATCCATTTATGTACATTTACATTTTTTCTTTTTCCATTTAAGTCATTCTTCATTTTGTTGGATAAGTTCTTGGGACTTTTTAAGGCATTGGAGTCTTATACACTTAAAATTGGATGTGCATGAAATCTCTAAAGGTAGCATTACTTGCGACTGAAGTATTGCACTTGTCTGTACCTCCTATTTGTGATATGAGCTTCTTAGGGAAGAGAATTTGACTGAACAAGCTCTGACCTTCAGGTTGTGCATGGTTTGTAACACTCGTGCAGGTCATTTCATCTGACTCAAAACAGATACTAGTCAGAATGATAGTGGATCACCCACACCATCATAGGTCACTGAGAACTGTAGTGAAATTCAACTAACCATTGACCTATTTAATAGTTATAAATAGATCATGCTCTTAAAAATTATGTTAAGATCTTTAAAGATTGAGAATCAAGAGTCTGAGATTTAAGCATAGCGAAGACTATGCTGAAATAAATATCGAATTGAAGCAGCAATATACTTTATTAAATATAAATAAATTTTAATTTTAATGTTGCCTAAACTTGCTTATGGAGCTGTTTTTTTTTTCAGGTTATGTAACTCTTCAGTGAAAAGATAACGCTGTCTTGGCCATATCTTCCATTGCGAGTAATTGTTTGACTATCTCTGTCTCCTCCTCCAGCTTTCCAATTGCTCTTCTAATAGTTACTTCTTAAATGTGCCCAATTTTGGGAATGTTGCTTCTGTCCCTGTGCCAAAACAAATTCTAGGAAATTAAGTCTGCTGCTTAGCTCTACCGAGTTGAAATTTACTGCTTTGATAGGTAACAACAGTGCTTCTTCCTCCCTTCCTTTCCTGAACTTGTAGACACTTACTGGACCACCAGCTCTCTGCTGCCCTCACTGTATGCTTTCTCTGGGATAAATCTAACTGTTTAACAAATTACCTGTGAGGCTTCATTTGAATCCCCTATTCACTAGTTGTTGCGTTCGACTCATCTTTCTTCATTTTAACATCATACATCTTTTTACCCACGTCCTGTGGGTGGAAGATACAGCACGAATCCTAACCTCTACCAGTTTCCATGCACGTAGCACTGCTCTTTATTAATTGAAGATGCTTTTGAGGGTGGCAAACAGGGTATCTATATTTACTCACAGCCAGCGTACTCCTAAGTTACAATATTCTGTATGTTATGTTCACCATTGTGGTCTATGTTCCAGGCTCAAATGTTGAATAATAGAGGAGGAAATAATTTTGTTATAAAATTACATATGTTATTAAATAATCAGCATTTATATAATGCCTTTCACAATTTAAATATGTCTCAAAACTCCTCACAGCCAATGAAGTGCTCCTGAAAATGTACTCAGTGTTGCACTGTAGAAAAAGCTAGCAGCACTTTAGTTCACAAAAACTGCAAAGGGATACAAGTGACACTAGTTGAGGGATAAATTTTGATTAGGACACTCTGTGGCTCCTGTTCAAATGCAACTGAAGTAATGCACTTGTCTTTACCTCCTATTTGTGATATGAGCTTTTCATGGAAGAGAATTTGACTGAACAAGTTCTGACCTTCAGGTTGTGCGTGGTTTGTAACATTCGTGCAGGTCATTTCATCTGACTCAAAACAGATACTGGTCAGAATGATAGTGGATCACCCACACCATCATAGGTCACTGAGAACTGCAGTGAAATCCAATTAACCATTGACCTATTTAATAGTTATAAATAGATCACACTCTTAAAAATTATGATCTTTTATGTCAACTTGAGAAGGTAGACAAAGCCTCTATTTAACATCTCAGCCAACAGAACACACCTCCAACCCAAAACACCAACTTTCTTGCTCCTCTGATTACTGCCTGGCCTGCTGTGTTCTTCCAGCTCCACACTGTATTGTCTCTGACTACAACATCTGCAGTTCTTGCTATCTCCAACAATATAATGTTCCCTCTGTATTCTACTGGAATGTCAACAGACATTCTGTGCTTAGATCCTGGGATGGGATGTAAGCCTACAACTTACTGACTCAGAGGTGGGCCTGTCACCACAAAGCTGTGGGTGAGATCCGCAGTTTATTAGAGGATCATGAGCAGATTACAGTATAAGGATAGCAGATTGGTTGACTAACAGAAGGCAGAGAGTGGGAATAAAGAGACAAGAAGGTGCAGAGCTGGATGAACACAGCAGGCCAAGCAGCATCATAAGAGCAGAAAGGCTGATGTTGCGGGCCGAGACCCTTCATCAGAAATGGGGGAGGGGAAGGGCGTTCTGAAATAAATAGGGAGAGAGGGGGAGGCGGATAGAAGATGGATAGAGGAGAGGAGAGGATAGGTGGAGAGGAAACAGACAGGTCGAAGAGGCGGGGATGGAGCCAGTAAAGGTGAGTGTAGGTGGGGAGTTAGGGAGGGGATAGGTCAGTCCAGGGAGGACGGACAGGTCAAGGGGGCGGGATGAGGTTAGTAGGTAGGAGATGGGGGTGCGGCTTGAGGTGGGAGGAGGGGATACGTGGGAGGAAGAACAGGTTATGGAGGCGGGGACGAGCTGGACTGGTT